AAGAGACAATATTACATGACAGTATAGAATACATACTAACCACTGTGCTGTCTAGGTATCGTGGAGGCTGTATCATACATTTAGCAGTGTGCATAATGGGAAAAAAGTCATCCTTCATGCAACTTTTTGAGTGATGCTTCAGGTCAGTGGCCATTTGTACAACTTACAGCATCGGACTGGTGGCAGACCTTAGCGTAATGTTCTTTCTTTGGCATAAATGTTGGAATCCAAGTTAAACTGACAGCCTTTAATTTTCAGTAAAACAATACAAATCAGAAAAAAAGATAAATCAAAATGTCCTAAAATGAAACCTGCCATTAGCGTAGCTGCAACTAATGATTACTTTAACTACAAATTAATCTGCCTAATTAACTGTTTTGTTAGCAAAATGTCAGATAATAGTTAGAAATGTCCTGTGTAATTTCCCAGAGCACAAGGTGACGTCTCTAAATGGCAGGTTTTATATAACCAAAAGTCCAAGAATCCAAAGCAGTGCAGTTTATTATCATATACGACAAAGAAACGCATCAAGTTGTCACATTTAAGAGGTGCTAAACAGGCAAATGTTGGCTTTTTGTCTTGCTTAAAAAAAGGCTGAAATTATTACTTCATTATCAAAATGGTTGCCAGTAATAATAATTATTATTCTGCACATTAGATTAGTGCAATGGGGGTTGCACTGTGGCTCAGTGATAATCACAATTGCTTTACAACAAAAGGGGAAGTTTTATTAAATGTCATGCCAGATCTTCTTGCCTTTGTGTCTGAATGATTTCTCCAGGTACTGAAGTTTGCTCTATAGCCCAAAGACATGAAGGCAACTCTCTCTGCATTACCCACAAATTTAAAAGTGAAAATGCATACAAAGTTCAAAAAGTCTTCGCACTGACTTTTTGCTTTGATGCTTTATTTGTCCACATTTGCTGTCAGATGAAAACAGGGTTATACTGAATTTAGATTTTTGAATTGACATGCCATCGTGTGGCTGTTTACTGAGATCATTATGAGACACTTTGACAGAGCATCACTTATATTTACCTTATACAGGTGCATGAGTTAAAGTTGCACTCACAGTAGGCCTAATATAATGTTTCAGTGCACCAAGTGAAGGTTAAGAAGTTGTTCTCCACCTTTGAGTCTGATCAAATCTCTGGGGGGAGACAAAGAGTCACCAATGTTGAGTTCTCAAGGTGTAGATACAGCACCATAATAAACTTATAAATAGTGGTTGAATGGAGATATACGTGCTCCATAGATTAATGCACGTGTCATTAGACTGTTTCCACCCACTTAAATTTTCAGTACATAGTAACCATCCCATAGATGTGTAAAGAGGACCATCCAATGTATAGAAAAGGCATCCCAGTGTCTACTTCCGTCATCGCTATGACCGTTTTATAAGGTCAAAAAGACAGATATTAAGGTATACTCTTATGTGGATATCGCTGCTGTAGATATTTACAAATGCAGCAGTTTGGACAGCTGGACAGATGTGTAGAGACCCAAGGGATTTGAGTGATTAGCTGTGATGAACTTTGACAGCGCTGTTTGAGGTTTAAGACAGTCAAATCAATGCGCAGGCGCAGTGAACGGTCTCTGATTGGTGGTTTGATCTTGGGGGGCGGGTCCTGTGTCGTCTGTGATCGGTTGAATATTTGAAATGCAGAACAACAGTGCTGTTTGGTTGTACTGCTACAGACTCTCATACACCAAAACATTAAAGGTACCTGTGAATATTAACAAACCGACACTCAACAATGGTCTGCGACTGAGACTGAGAAACACTAACCGCAGGTAAGGACACCACACATCTACTTTTATTTAAGGGAATGTATGATTGTGTACATCAGACAATACAAAGGCAACCAATAACATAGGTGTCGACAGAAGAGACACATTTAGTTTTATTATTATTAGCCCATAAATGAATTTGATGGAGGCTGCAGGCTGTCATTGAATATCTCTGTTGAGTTTGGTTGCAGCCGTGGAAGGTCACATATTACTACAAACCACTGAGGACTCTGCATGACCCACATACCCGAAACAGTGTTTAAAATACATTTAAACTGAATTCAGTGAGTGAGACATGTTTAATTCTGCAGACTCGATCTCTGTGGCTGCAGTAGTGTGTTTCACTCCCATTATGTCTGTGATGTTTACCTTAGTGCATGACAGCGAGTACAAACACAATGCAATAGCAATAAACAACATTACAGTTAGTGTGCACTGCAGAAAATAATTCACTGGCAATTATTAGTTAAGTTCATTGGCTCAGCATGGAGACATGACAGCCCAATGAAGGGTGCAGACTCAGGCTTTGCACCCACCGACAAGATCCTTGATAAAAAGGAGCCCCTCCCCCATTTATTTGGAGACAGATGGACCCTAACAATGCATTTCTGGGGGAGTGGGCATCATTATTCAAACCAGTGTATCAAAAGACATTTCATTGGACATCCCAGTCAGCTGACCCAGATTGCTTGAATTTTGAAAAATAATAATGAGGGAGGGGTCTCTTGGCATGGCATCAGTCCCAAACAGTCAAAGATGCAGTGATGCTGTGTGAGCATGTGGTGACTCTTTGAGGCAGTATTTTTGTTGTCTTTTTCAGATAAAGACTCACAACACCTCAGCCTCCTGCCGAACAAAGAAGGGAACGAGAGCAAAGACAAACACCTCAAAGGAAGACAAAGAGCAACCAGTAATGTTCCAAACAATTACCCGTCTGCTTTTTGGGGGAGAGGAGGAGACCCCTGAAGATGTTAAGTCTGGGGAGGCGGTGGAGGAAGGGTGGTTAGTTGTGACTCATCAAGGTCAGTCATGGAGCATGTTTCAGAATATCTGTGATATAACGATAGATGTGTACAGCAATATGCAGTGTGACAAACTTAAAAGGGCATACTTTGTAGATCATTATGGTGTTTTTGTCCTTGCAACTTTCAGCTGATACTGCTGTCCATGTTGATGAGTGGAGACAGAGCAGTAGTCATAATAATAAGGATTTATTGCTATAAGTAATAATGATAATCATTAGGGTTGGATATCTGTTAAAGATGACTTTAAGGTATCGACTGAAATAACGTAGTACCAAGTGATACCCAGATCGAGAATTTTTTTTTACTATTTGTATGGTTTTGCTCACAGCCAATTGCCATTAGCGTTCTTTGATTTCATGGGAGAGGTGATCAGCCCACGACCGCAGCAGCTACAACCTCTCCCATACAGTGTGTGGTGTGGTAGAGTCAGGCGTGGTGTATTGGACGGAGTTGTTTGAACAGTTATCTAATACATATTTTAATGATCTGAACACTTTTAAAATGTAATAGTGATATTTGGATGGGGAGGAGTGTTGGTGGCATTTTACGCAACTGAATGCCTCTGGTGACATTATTGGTATCAAATGAAGTAGAAAAACAAAAAGGCATCACATGAAAGACTCTGCTGGTATCAGAATCAATTTAAGGGTACAGGTATTGATACTAGTATCGTCAGTTTTTTAAACAATACTCAGCCCTAATAATAATCTGGTATTTTATGCAAAATCATTCTAAGTAATGATATTGATGTACATGGTGATGCCAAACGTGATGTCATTTTAGACTGTTATTTGTTTAGCTAGAGAACCGTGCACCCTGAGATCATAAGAGTGTTTTTTTTTGTCCACAGCAGGAGAATGTACTCACTGTATATTGAATTACTGCCTGATTACATGACAAACTTTGTCCTGTCTCCACAGAGGCAGATTCAGCAGAGAGCCAGGGAGCAGAGCTGACCGACACCCAACCATCAAACTCTGTTCTTCATGGAGACAAAGTTGCAAACATGGTAACCAACATCAGGTAAGAGAGCACGAGGAATCCTTTCAAGAAATCAATGCCATGACGTGCCGTGGTAGCTCATAGGGTAGACGGTAGAGAATGTTCCCCACAGCGGCACAGGTATGAGTCTTTCCCTGTAACTCCTCTTTCATACCTCTCTGTCACTGTCAATAAAGCATGAAAAATATATATATATATATAAAGGGAGAAATCATTACCATATTAAATTTGAGGGGGGAAAACTGTATACCAACTATCAGCAGAGTCAATTTCCCTGCAGATAACGCACAACTTTATTCCAGTTCCTTTTAAATTCATATTGCTCATATTGATGAACACTGACTCAGGTTGTCAGATTCATTTACTAGCTTGTGTTTCTCTCCAGTGTGTCAGATCCAGAGCCCACAGGTGAAAGCAGCAGCAGCAGCAGCAGCAGCAACAGCAGCAGTCGAGCTGTTACAGGCTCTGTTTTTCAGCGTAAACCTCTGGCAGAAATGACACAGTTAACCTGCATCCAGAGGGCGAAGGCCTGGGCAGACCCTCACCGCATGTCTCGTAACACCATTCAACGCCAGAACCGTGTTCGCCAAGGAGTCCAACATCACTCCTTCCACCTCCAACAGCCAGGACATCGTAACCTCAGCCACTGAGGCTGTGATTGAACCAGGAAATATTTACACACCACACATGGCACTTAATAAACACATACTCTAATGTACACATGCACACACATTTTAGTCTTTTGCAGATTTAAGCTATACATTTAATCTTGATGTAACTCATCACAACAACTCTACAACAGGCAGCTACATTATTACTCGTATGAATTGAACATATGAATTAGGAATGAAGATGATCACCTCATGAGATGAAATGTTTTCTTGTTTGTGTGCATGTGGATTTACACGTGGATGACTGCAGCCTATGCAAAATGTATTCTCAAACATTTTAGACAAAGTGCTGTAATTTGTGTATCAACATGCATTTTTTTTACCTGTATGTAACTGGGTTAAAAACCTTTTTATACAACAATAAAAAAAATGATGACTTTGCAGCTTATGCTTTATTTTTTAGTGAAATTATAATGTCCAAATGACATTGAACTGCTCACAATCTGACACATGCAAATACTGAGATCTCATTGGTTTGGAGGTATTTGCAGCTGCTGTGTTTGATTACATGCTCAGCTAAGGCAGGGATGCAGTTCGTGGACTTTTATGATAAAGAAGCATGTGAAGAACTGTGTTCTTGAATTAACGTAGCCTGTGAGTGAGCACAGTGAGAATGGATGTTTCTCCTGGAACAAAACTTAACAAGCAGTTCCCACCTGGTTACAATAGTTTTGCTGGTTCTCTTCAGTTGGCTGATGGCTCATCACCAAGCGACTTCACCTGTGACCTGAATAAAAACCACGGTGAGAGGACACAAATAGAATATAAATGGTTTATAATCTTAGGTTTTATCACACAAGATGCCATTGTATCTCTCTCACACTGATTCACACATGCCATGGTGCTAATTTGCATCACTGTGTGAATCACAGGATAAAATGTCAAGGGAGAAAACAGGCAGGATCTCTGGGGTTTGAGAACCTGAACCATGTTCTTAAAAAAAGAAATCTGAATTAGAATGATCAGGATTTGGATAGATCCAGGATCAGCTAATCCATCTTAATTTTGTGCTGGTTTTAAAAGCAACATTGCAACGTTGGATTGGCTGATCCTGAACCAGATACAAACTTAATAAGATAATTAAATCCTGATAACCAGTGCTCTAAATGGGACTATATATCATAGTTCATCATTCCATTGGGATAAAGGTTTAAATTTTGTTTCCTTGTTCTTACCACAGACCTGAGCCATCACCCAAAGGATGTCCCTCTGAACCAGCTGCCCTCTGGTAGCCCACATTTATTAGACCAAAGCCTGTCCGAGCTTGAAGACACAGACAAAGACTGCTTCAGTCAAGGCTCACCCATGTGTGTCTATGCCCTATCTGTCTCCTTTACCATTGTAGTGACCATTTCTTTGATCCTGGATATTTATCTTGGGGAGAGATTGGTATGTCATGCCATATAACGCAAGTTTTACTACAAGTGCATTATGTATCCTCATTACAGTTACTTCTCAGGTGTTAGTAAAGGGTGTGGTGGTGTCGGATCATGAGCGCTGCACTGCACTCGGCCAGAGAGTCCTCCTTGATGGTGGATCCAGTGTGGATGCAGCCGTCACTGCTGCCCTGTGTTTGGGTGTTGTGCATCCACACGTGTCAGGTGTTGGTGGGTATGTGACTGACCTATTGTTGATATGCTGAGTGTAAAATACACATAGACATGTCTGATCACAAATGTAATGTTTCCTGATTGTCTTTCTGTAGAGGTGGGGTGATGCTGGTACATGACAGCCGTAAGAATGAAACCAGGGTGATTAATTTTCAGGGAACTGCACCCAAAACACTTAAAGAGGAGATGCTGCAAAATGTTTCGGAACTAAAGGTAATGTAAAGACGTGGAGGGGGCTACCATTAATCATTTTATTATTCAGTGAACATAATTTTACTTCATCCATTCAGGCAGGTTTGCGAGTGGGAGTGCCAGGTATGCTCCGAGGGTTACACCGTGCTCACAGCCTGTATGGGAGGTAAAAGAGTTTAACTAAACTGAAACATATCTTGGTTCAGTCTTACCCTTAAGTCAATTATGTCTTACCACAAAATCTCTGCAGTCTGTCATGGGAGGATGTGGTAACCAGAGCTGCTGCTGTTGCCAAGGAAGGTTTTAATGTGTCTTTAAGTCTTGGTGAGTCAAACCGTCTGTCTTTAAATTATCCCACTTGAAGGAATACTTCACCCCCGCAAATGACTATTTGTAGGTCAATTGCTCACTTACTTACTTACCCTGTGTTTTGTTGAATTCAGGAAGAAAGCTTTGTTTTTCTCACATGCCTCCACAGTAAACTCAGAATCCAACAAAGGTGAGCATTCTTCATGAACTGAATTAAAGGGAGGCAAACTCTCACACAATTTGTGCAGTATAATCCAAATGTCGTTTGCTCAGTGGACTACTTTTCAAACACATGCATCTCGTGCATGGAGAAGAAGTGCGCCTGCGCTGTTCTGCAGAAGTGTTAAGCAAAAAAATGCATGTGTTTGGAAAGTATGACTGGATAAATGTGAGATTGATTACACTGAAAAAGCTACATGAGAATTTGTAAACAGGTGTTTTTGATAAGGTTTTGCTGTTAAATGCAAACCCCTATGACTCCATCAAGAATTTTCTCTCTTTTTGGATTCCTCGTTCACCATGGAGGCATGCAAGAAAAACAATTTTTTCACACGGGGTGAGTAATTGACATATTGGTGACGTATTCCTTTAACCACTTATTCAAAATATAACATGATGATGTCGCCTCAGGAGAACATACCAGGGTGTGACTCTTTTGTCTACTTCTACAGCTGAGTCTATATCAAAGATAAAAGGTGAGCAGCTGCCGCAACGTTTCAGGGACATTTTCCTCCCAGAGGGCCAAGCTCTGCTCCCTGGTTCATTTCTGAGGATGTCCGGTCTGGCTGAAGTCCTCGAGGCTGGTCTGTCAAACTTCTACAATGGGAAGGTCTCACAAGAGATAGAGGATGAGGTGAATGACACCCATACATCAAATAGGCCTGGTTTGGGCAAAATTATATAATCTGAAATTATTGAAGTGTCAGTGTTATAATAGCTTCTGCTGTGTTGACATGAAAAGGTACGAGCTTATGGAGGGGTCCTGAGCAGAGAGGACATTAGAAACTACAGTGTGCAAGTGGAGCAGCCAGTAGAAGGCCTGTACAATGGTAAAGAATTACTTCAGCAATAGGCTGCGTAAATGTGTATGTGTCCTTGATACCTTCATCTGTATTGTGTTCCTTTTGTCTTAGAATTTATTATTCAGGTCCCTCCTCCCCCATCTGTTGGTGCAGCGTTGATATCAGCGCTCAACCTTTTGGAAGGCCTCCACCTTAATGAGAGTAGTAACGCAGAAAATAAATCACACCACTGGATTGCTGAGGTGCTGGATTGCAAATCTTAAATATCACATGGTCTTGCTAAAATGGTTGGTCTCCTACAGAAGAATGATTTATTTTTTTCCTTTTAAGGCTCTGAAAGGAGCTTTGGATGTGGCCAGTGGTTTGGGTGACCCTAAATATAACTCTTCAGTGACCGAGCTGCTCTCCAACATGCTGAGGTAAACCACATTGAAGGACCACAATTTTAATTCAGCCGGCAAATATTATTGATTTATCAGACTGTTTTCTTGCTTAATGATGAATTGTTTTGTCTGAAATGTTAAAGTAGAAAAAATTCTCATTATACCTTGAGTCCCAAAAGAGTCTCAAATCCAGTAATGTTCACTTCATTATTATATAGTACATGAAAAGCATCAAATTCTCACTCTGGAGGCAGAGAATAGTTGGCATTTTTTCCTTGAAAAATGACTTAAATTATTAATTGACTATCACAATTAGTTTTCTGTTGATCAATTATTTGATCAACCAACTATTTGTCTCAGCTCTAGTTCAGCCAAAGGTAATACATTCTATTATACCATATTCAGGTGTCCCTTCCTTTGTGACATAACTGACTGCAAACTCTTATCAGTACATCAGGCATTTCAGTCAACTTCCTGTTCATTCCCTCTCTGCTCTGCTAAAGCAAGAGTCGAGCTGAAATCCTTCGCCAGAGGATCAGCTACTCCCCACAGACGGAGCTGGAGACCGGACAGGTGACAGTCATGGGACCAGATGGCCTCATGGTATCAGTTGCAAGGTACCAACTGTCTGAGATGAGCGATCACACCAAGAGGATGTTATCTGTGGAATGTGCTACTGGTCACACTGACATTCTTCTATCTTATCTCTTGTCTTTATGATCTTGCAGTTCCTTGAGCATGCCATTTGGGAGCAGAATCATAACACGGTCAGGAGTTATTCTCAACAGCGTCATCCATGACTTCTCCTGGCCAAATAAAACCCGAGGGCAACTCTTAACCAACCAGGTGCATTACCATTAGAAATCTCACCCAATAAAGTTGGTCAGTTACAAAGTACTTGTTTTTAAATATGGCTCATTCTTCAGCCCAGTTGCCAGAAGTAAATGTTGGTAATGTAGATTTCTGCAAACCACAAATATGTTACATGTGCATGTTTCATACAGAGCATATCAACCTTTCTAAAGTGACATAGTATACAGCAGACTACTGCTCAAGACAAGCAATAAAACCATCTGTTTTATAGCAATTCATTGCTGTTTCCAGCAGCTTTTTAGGATATTATTTAGGGACCCTTTGCTGTTTTTCAGCAGGAATAGTGCCACAAAAAGCAATTGTTTTTTACCAAAACGTCGCTGTTCCCCACCGGGATAGTGGCACAAAAGGCAGTTGTTTTTTTCACAAAGACATTGCTGCTTTTTCAGCAGGGACTGGGCACCCAAACTGGGTATTTTAAGCCAAACCATGATTAATTCATAACTATAACCATGTTTTTTTTTGCACCTAAACCTGAACATATACGAAACGTAAAGTTTTAACGTATCCACATGCAATGTAACCTATCCGTGGTCTGCAGAAACAGTGTAAACTTTTTTTTTTTCCTTCTGAGAATTGTGTTGCACTGTGTGCTATTTGTTCCACAGAAGAACAGAGTGCATCCAGGAGAGAGGCCCCTATCATCTCTATTGCCCATAATAGTGGTGCCAGCATGGAATAGATGTGGAATCTACATGGCACTGAGCAGCTCAGGTGGACAACAGAGTTTGAGTGTGATCACCCAGGTTTGATCTCTTCACATTGTAAACGTTTGGATTCTGGTTCAGTGGAGGAAGTCAGGATATTTTATACTAAAGCATTTTCAGTGTAGTTTCTTTTTGTGTGCTTTAGATGTTGATCAATGCACTGTCCTTCCATAAAGACAAAAATGACAGCCTTTCCCTTAAAGGACTTCAACTTCTGCCAAACAGACTTCTTGTTGATCGTAAGTATGAAACAGCATTCAGAAGTTGACCTGATTAGTCATTTTATCATTTGAGTAATTTCCCACTTTTAAAACTGTCCCTCATCAGCTGAGATTACAGAAGAGGATGTGCAGTCTGTGCATGGAAAAGGTCACATAGTTCAGAGAGAGAAGACAAACTCTGTTGTCCAGGGGGTCCTGAGGAACGCAGACATCATTACACCCATAACACCTCAATTAACTGAGAGTCTCTTATAGTTTTATTGTTCTCATTAACTTTGTTTTTTCATGAATATCTTCCATGAGCATATTATAAAATGAAAGAATAAGTTATGGTATTGTTGTATGATGTCAATTTACTGTTCTCCGGTGTTTGATACTCTTATGTAATGTTGATCACCAGCCAACAGTCCTCAAACTAGTACTTTCTACTAAAGAAGGCAAACATTTCTATTCATAGGGATTGTCTTGGAACTTTTTAATGAAATAAAGTCCTCATACTTGAGCATCAAACAGATATTTTGTAATGGATTTTTAAATAACGGGCAACAAAGGTTTTCATGCTGGTTGACAACACATGGCCACTATGCACGCTGAAGAAAATGATGGCGGTTATGTAAAGCTGACATGCAGTCAAGATCCTGTCACACATGCATACCAACTGTGTCTCAGGCAAGGACATGTCACATGTGTTTTAAGTCTGCATGCAGACAAACATGTCACTCAAATTGTTACTCAACAGCAACAGTTGCTGTTGATCCATTGACACGGTTTCTTAGGAGAGACTGGTGAGTAATTAACAAGTGTAACATCAATAAATAT